ACTCTACCCAGGGCGACAGCTTGAGGCTCTGTCTCAAAAAATAAAAAAAATAAAAAATAAAATAAAGGAACCTGATAAATGAGATAATTTGTAAGATAATTTGTAATTTTTAAATTTGTAGTTTTAAAAAGTTTCCCTAGGTAACTTTTTGGGGTAACTAGTGCTAATCCATGAAGTAGTTTTTGAGTAGTAGAATGATAAAAGATTTCTGTATGATAATAATTTAAATATCTTTTACTAATTAGTCATGAATACCTTTTGGCTCTACCTTAAATTTGATAATTTTTAAATTCTTATTCCTTTTCTGTGTCTTTTCTTACAAATGCTCCTTTCTAAAGATTTATCTATCTTATTTCATATGCTAATTCTTCATATGCTAAACACAAGCAAAGGTCTCATTATCCATAGGCTCAAACCTTCCCTTCTAGATTTTTTATTTTCTAAAAGTAGATGAGATAGCAGGTGGCATCTAAAATATAGATTAACTTCTAGTTATGAAAGAGGCCAGCTTCCTCATGAAGGAAAATGAGGACTAGGCACAGCCTTGACTGCTGTATGTCTCTCACATCCTCTTCTCTGTGCAGCTGAGCCACTAATGGGCAGTAGTTTGCTTGAAGAGGCTTCAGTACCCAGTAAAAACCTGGTGTCTATGAATTCCCAGCCCAGCCTTGGTGGAGAGTCCTTGAACCTACCAAATACCAATTCTCTCCTGGGAGTTGATGATGGTAAGACTTCCAACTCTCCTTTATTTGGGTAAAATGGGCTGCAACTAAGGGGCTAAGGAATGGGGTGTCTCCAAAATGACAGTTGTACTTAATCTCATTTTCTTGTGAGTAGCTGTGTATGACTGAATAGCATTTGTGCTCTTATTCTCTGGGGTTGATAAATTAATCTGGAAGAAAAAAAAAATATTTTTTCTCGGGAGGCTGAAGTGGGTGGATTGTTTGAGCCCTAGGAGCTCAAGTCTGGTCTGAGCAACATGGTTAGACCTTGTCTCTTAAAAAAAAAAAAAATCATCAAAGATGATGTAACAGAACAATAAAGAGAAAATTATTTATAATTCTAGCATCCTAGCCCAACCATTTCTATCTTTCCTATTGCAGTTATGGAAGAACTTAACTTTTAAAACATTTAAACAGAACATAACCAGGTTTTACAGAGGAGATATAAAGCAATTTCTCCATACCTTCAAAAGCCATATCTTCTGGAGAAAAGAAAGGGCTCTCTAGGAAATACTTGGTCCTCTCTGGTATAGAAATTTCACCCAAGTTACACAGGCCAGGCCCTCTTCTCTGACAGACTTAACAGGTGAGGTCAGCATGCATTTATTCAGTGCCTACTGTGTGCCTGGCACCATGGGAAAGACAAAAGTAAAAGATAAGGACTTTAAAATCCAATTGAAAAGTGAAAACTTAAATATATCTGGGAATCAACATTAAGTAAATAGAAGAAAGTATATGTAGTATAAGCAAACATTAAATTATTTAATAGAGTCTAGAGAGTAGAATAAGATAGAAAGTCTGTAGAAGAAACTTACTTTTTGAGGACTAAGTAGTATATCTATCAACTATTTCCAGAACAGTTTCATGGTGATCTCACTGATAAATATTTAATAAGATCCTATGTTGAGTCACTCATATCCTACTCAGGATGTTTTGGGTATAACTGTGTTTATGTAACTTCTGTATAGAGCCTACAAAGCCCACATGTGCTACCAAATAAGGCTCCTCTGTTTTATGAATGGTATTAGTGGAGAACCAAAGTATGAAGCACAGAAGTTGCGTGGAGCTAGTTTGCCAGCCTTGAAGAAGAAAGTCCCAAAAGAGGAAGGGATGCTGAGTAGGAACTTTGGAAACCAGGTTTAACTTAAATTGTTGATTTGTACATATTGTGCTATTAGTATCATTGGTGACTGCTTTAAGGGCTAGCTTTTGACTGCCCTAATCTGCCTGCCTAAGCAGTTTTTACCCCATTTTGTACATAGTTTTAATCCAGATAACAGTGCTGAAGCTATATTATTCTTAATTAGTATGTTGAAAAGGTCAACTCCTATATTAAGATTTGACATTTTTTCCCATTTTCCTTTTATAATACTTTCCAAATTCACTGATAATGATTATCAGGCAGGAATTAATTTGGAAGAAATAAAACAATGTGGGGTTCAGTTTTTCAGGAATAGTTTTTAGAGTTCTTAGTGAGAGTCCTAATGATTCAAGTTAGGAATATCTGTAGATTCACTTTTCTTTTCTTTTTTCTTTTAAAAAGATGTTGTAACACCATAAATGTGGATTCACTTTTCATTGGAATATCTTTCTGTTGTTCCACAGAGGTACTTGCTGAAGGTTCCCCACGTCCCTTGTCTTCAGTGCCTGATGTGACACATCACTTGGTGACCATGCAGTCAGGGAGGCAGTCATTTGAAGTTTCTGTCTTAACTGCAGTAAATCCACAGGAGGTAAAACTGTCTCTTGCCTTTGTTTCTGTGACAACTAATGTAGGGAATAACTGGGATTATAGAGGATCTGAAAAATTCTCCAATTACCATTTTCTGGAAACTTTGACTAGAATATATTCCTTTACGTTAAGCATGAGTTCAACTTGAAAAGAACTTGAATGTGATAGGGTCTTGTAAACTGAGAGACTGGTCTGTCACAACTGGAACTTCCAGCTTTAAAATTCCTTTCTGTAAGCCAGTGCGGTGGCTCACGCTTGTAATCCTAGCACTCTGAGAGACCAAGAGGAGTGGATTGCCTAAGCTCAGGAGGTTGAGACCAGCTTGAGTAAGAGCGAGACCTCATCTCTAAAAATAGCCAGGTGTTGTGGTGGGCACCCGTTGTCCGAGGTACTCAGGAGGCTAAGGCAAGAGGATCACTTGAGCCCAAGAGTTTGAGGTTGCTGTGAACTATGATGCTACAGCACTCTACCCAGGGCAACGAAGTGAGATTCCATCTCAGAAAAAATAAAATTCCTTTCTTTTTTTTTTT